AAAATCCAAATCTAAAAAAAATAAACTGATTAAACATTTAATATAAACCATATAAGTCATTTAAACTCAAAATAATCAATTAAAATCTCAGTCCATTCGAAATCATAGAAAAACCCCAAGATTCAACCATCTCAAGTATGAAAAATCTAAGAGAAAAGGGTAAAAATAAGGTTAAAAATACTTATTTTGCTGTTTAAAAGTTCAAATATACTTCTAAGGACCAAAATCCACAAGCCCTAGTAGATCCCCAATGTTTCACCACCCCAAATCAAATGAAAATCACGTCTAAAACTTATTTTAAAAACAAGTTCGTGATGCATACACTGTGGATTGGCCACGATGAACCCACAACAAATGGCACTTAAAAATTGCCCTTTCTGCTAAGCCATTCGCTATGGCGTTCACTACGACTAACTCATAGTGAATGTCACACAATAAGAAAACCCTCAGCTATAAAAATTCATAACCTAACACACAAATGTCTAAACTAGTAACATCTTTAACCGGAAAAAAAACACGAAGAACATGATCGAAGAAGGACATTGTATGAGAAGAAAACTAGAAAAAAAATAATAGAAGATGAATATGAAGATTCTTTCTGACTAGGTTGAGAAGGGTCTTTTTTTTTTTTGTTACTCTAATTTCTTTAAAAATGATTTGATTGAACTTAATTTTTCCAAACAAATTTTAAATTAGGATAAAGGTGCACTCAGCAGCCAATCCTTTTTCCAGGTGCAACTAGCATCCTAATTTTTTTGGTGATACAATTTTACCTACCATCTTTTTATTTTGATGCAATTTTACCCATTTCTAACAAGCCTCTAAACATCTATTTACACAAAGGCATTTGTTTTGTTCAAAAAAAAATCACATGAGCATTTGAATGACACATAACGTTTGATTGGATTAAAGCCTGTTTGGCATGGTGTTAGAAATTACTTACAAACACATTTTATGTAAATCGAAATAAAACTTTTCTCACATACTTACCTCATATTTTGTATATCACGATCAAAAAATTACTTGTAAGCTATTCCAAATAGGCCCTTAGTTTATCTAATCAAAGAAAAACACTAAATTGAGAATTCAATTGATTATATGGTTTTGACGGCTTAAAGTTAACAGAGTGTTACATTCAGAAACAGTTAATCCTATCTGCTCCTTGAGGTTCTTTGACTGGTGACGGCTGAACCCGGTTACCATCACTATGCCTATCTGCCACTTAGAAGATACCTGAATCAATTTTCTTCTGACTCTAATCTATCTTGCAGCTCTCAAATTAATCAAGCAATAGCTATGGCGAGAGGTAACTCTAATCTTAAAGTCTTCCGCTGTATGTTTTATAAGAGGATTTATTTTATATTATTTATATTGAATATATTTTACATATGTTATTTTGAATCTGTCTTACAGCTATTGCTCGAAATTTCCCTAAATAATAGAGATGGGAACCTGCTAGCGTCAGCACAGGAGCAATGCCATAGAGGGCGCGATTAAAGAGACCGATCAAGAGGGAAACAACAGCAATACAGATGAGTAAAGTACGAAAGGTGTCGTCGTTTTGGGAGACCCAGTCAGTGATCCTAGTCTCGTTTGGAGTTGGGTGCTCTGCAATTAGGTTTGGAATTCGTGATTGGAGAATTGAAAGAAGAAGAAGAAGCACGGAAGTGGAGTGAGAAGGTAGGATGAAGAGAAGGGAATGATGAGGATTTTAGGGTGTGCGAGTAAGGAATCGTCACACAAGAAAACGATGAAGAAAGAGGGAGATTCAAGCAGTGAATGACTTACCTCATTGCCGATTACAGATTGTCCTTTACTCGTAGGCAATGCTGGTAGCGATGAAGATGGTGGATAGGCTATAGGGTCTCGGCGTACAGTATGGTCAATTTAAAAAATTACAGATACAATAATGTCTTTCTATCATAATTAAAATCTCCGCCGCGTAATGTCACCATTGCTAATCCTTGCCCTGCTTAAACCATCCAAATCATTTAAGGAAAAAAGAATTGTTTTATACCTTTCATGAAGAAAAACCTAATCTTATATATTTATCCATGCAAAATAAAATCACTTGAAATAAGTCAAGTTAAATAATTAAATAGTCTTCTATAAAACTTTCAAAAAAAATAATAGTTGATTTCTCAAAAACAAAATGTTACTTTTTGCAAAATTCCAAATCAGTAATTAAATTAAAATTTTCAAATATTGATTAATTTACAATGTTGCCATTTAATTTCTTTTTTTAAGGAAATTCAAATCCTGATTCTAGAGTTCCGATGCCAACAGCTATTATTTTCATTTTTTTCCACATTCATAATGTAATTAACAACTCTTAGAACAATATACATAACTTTATTAAAGTTATTTATCATGTATTTTTTAGGTTTCTAAACTAGGATTTTTCTTTAACATTTGTAAAGTGAATTGACAAATCTTATAACAATATTCACTAGGGGTGTGCATGGACTAAACTAGACTAGATTTGCCAAAATCTGGTCCAATAAAGACCTCAAGCTAAAAAAGACAGCTCAAGGTCCGGTCCAATCCAGTATCACCCTGAGGTCAGATTAGATTCGACTTTGTCTACTTGACTACCTGGGACCATTTTTTATTTATTTTTTTAAATTTTTTCTTCAATAGGAGACAAGATTTCAATTTACTATATCAAATTTTTCACGTGTTTTAATCCAAACTTCATCAATTTTGATTATTCCTTTCAATTTCTCCATATGTCATGTTTCATTTATTAATTCTCATCAATATAGATCTTATATTGAAGAAAATACATACATATACTCATCGCTTAGGAACTTAATAGATAAATTTTAATTATTTGAATTGATAAAAAAACTTATATATAAGTATTAAAATAAATAAAAATTATATAAATAATAGTTAAAAAGGTAAAAAAAAAAAAAAGAGGTTGGACTGGACTGGAACAGCTGGTCTAAGGGGTCAGTCACTAGTCCAGTCCAACCAAGTGAGATCAATTTGGTCCAGTTTTGCTCCCGGCTAATTTTTTCTAGACCGGACTAGATCATGTTTGCTCGTGTTGGACCAGGTCATATAGGATCATCGGGTTTTTACACAGCCCTAATATTCACAACTCCATTGATATCATCTAAGTTGGGACTAAACATTTATAATATGGTTGCTAACTCTTATAATAATATTCACAACTCTGTTAATGTGCTTAGTCACCTTATATGATAGGCTTTTAAACATGGAGAAATTAGTAAGTGCCTAACGTTTTGGAATTTTTTTAAAAACTTGTAACGTGATTAACGATTATTTTAATGACCATCACAACTCCATTAACATTATATGGCAGGTTTTCAAATTGATATTATTAATTTAATATATATTAAAATTAAAATAAATAAATGAATATTAAGTATATAATGTTGTTAATAGTATTAATATAGTCGTGGATATTGTTATAAAATATGTTTCAAGTGTTGAAAACATGTCAGTTTAAAATCCTAAAGAATACATGATAAATGGTGTTAAAAAAATCTCATAAGGTTAGGTACTCATTAACTTCTCCAAGTTTAAAAATATAAAGTGGTCAATGATATTAATAGAAATATAAATATCGTTACAAGAATTTGCAATTATATTACAAATATTTAAAAAAATTTCAATTTAAAAACCTGAAAAATATGCAGTAAATGATGTTAATGAAATTGTGAATATCATTAAAAGAGTTATCAATTGTATTACAATGTTGAAAATGGTGCCAACTGCCAAAACTCTAGAGCTCTAGAGAGGAACTTGAGTTTTTTTATTAAAAAAAAAGAATTAAAGAGAAACATTGTAAATTCACCAATGCTTCAAAATTTTAGTCCGAAGATTGATTTGGAATTTTTGCAAATTCATATGACCTTTTGGATTCTAGAAATTCACCTATCATTTTTTTTTTTTGAAAATTTTCATAGTCTTTTCTTATTATACATAAGTCAAACTATACATATAAAATTAATACATCATAATTACATATAAACCTTTTTAATAAAGGGAAATCTAATTTCCCATCTTTGTAGTTTTCGCACGTTTTGAATCAAGTCCTTAGACCTTTTTTTTTTTAATTATTATTATGTCTTTTAAGTTTCCTCTATTAGATTCATTAGTCATTTATATATAAAACCATTAAGAGTTTCTTTGCCTGATGCTTTTGACCTTGACTACTCCAATAGCCATAGAATATCGACATTTTTACTAGTTTCATATGAAGTACAATGGGTTTGAGAGTTCGTCACAGACCAGCAACTTCTCTTTGTCCTAGCCTCCTCTGCAATTGATCATGCGCGACCTTCTCTCCCACAACCTCCTCTACAATCACGACTCAATCCTTTTCTCACTGAAAAAAAATGCCCTAACTCGATCCCCAAAACAAGAGAAGTACTATTATAGTTAATATGGACTTACTCATGTCTGATCAGATTCGACTTATCAACATATCTGCCATATCTTCCATTTTTAACTCATTTTCTAATGTTAATTTGTGTTTAATGGTTTTATATATAAAGAAGTAACGGACCTAATTAAGGGAACTCAAAGGAGCCAATAAAAAAAAAATTAAGAACTTGATTCAAAACTCATGAAAACTATAATGATTGGGAAATAATTTTCCCTAAAAATCAAAGCTACCGGGGCATTTATGACGAACAAACATATTTTTATAAATTTATACAAGAAAATTTTGTTGATTTTGAATTTACTAGTACAAATCACTATATACTTCATAGCAGAAAATTTTATATTGACAACATGCAAAGCCTATATGAAATTTAGAATAATTTAGACTAAACTTTTCTGGAAAAAGTATATCTTTTTATTTATTTTTAAAGAAACTTTATATTCATTTTAAAGGGAAGAGTTCTGTATCATTTTAACACAATTTATAAGATTATATAATTTTATTAAAAAGTATTTGGCGTGCCATTACATTATTTACAACGGGATGAAAAAAGGGGCGGAACAAAATAAATATCTTATCCCGTTATCCGCAACTCGCAAGAAAGATTAACGGCTTCGCGCCTTTCAGACACTCAAGCTCAAGCTGTCAAGCAAAGACCAGCAGAAAGCTCAATGGCTTCTGCCATTTTCTCTGTACTTCAGGGCTCTGCTTTTCCTTCTTCTTTTGTATCCCACAAAATCAACTCCTTCACCTTTCCGATCTCAGCCAAAGTTCCACTTGTTCGCTTCAGAAAAACTCTGTCCGCTAAATCTCTTGCTTCTGTCGAATTTGATACATCATTGTCGCCTGCGATTCAGACATTCTGGCAGTGGCTATGGGAAGAAGGGGTCATCTCTTCGAAAACGCCAGTGGAGCCCGGGGTCGTGCCGGAAGGCCTCGGACTTATTGCCAGGAGAGACATTTCGCGAAACGAAGTCGTTTTGCAGGTGCCCAAGAGACTATGGATAAACCCCGATGCCGTGGCGCGTTCGGAGATTGGGAACGTTTGTAGCGGATTGAAGCCTTGGGTGTCGGTTGCTCTGTTCTTGATTAGAGAGAGGTCCAGGGATGAGTCTGTTTGGAAGCATTACTTCAAAATTCTCCCAGAGGTCACTGATTCGACGATATATTGGTGGGTTTTTGTTTGTTTTCTGTATTGACACATTTATTTGAATTCATACCTTCGAATGGAATGGATTGATCGAGTTGGTAATTCTAAGTGTTTTATTTTGCTTATTCCAGTGCAGGTCAGAGGAGGAGCTCTCTGAGCTTCAAGGTTAGTGATTGGTGAAGTCGCAGTTTCCAATGCCATTTCTATGTTATCGTAATCTATACTTGTGAATTTTAACATCGTGCTCCTCACGTCAATGAAAATTGGTTCATATTTGTGACATAACTCGATGCTTTTCTCATAAAATAATATACTAAATGCCATGTTTGCTAAAGTACCTCGGTGTTCCAACATATGTCCAACAACAACATGCCTGGAAACAAGTGGCTATGCTTGATATAACAAGTGGCTATGCCGTGGCGCGTTCGGAGATCATATTTCCAACATATTGTTGTATGGCCTGATTGAATATGATATCTGCAGGTACTCAACTTCTGAATACAACACTAGCCGTGAAAGAATACGTGCAGAATGAGTTTCTAAAACTGGAAGAAGAAATCATACTCCCTAATAAGAAGCTTTTCCCTTCTCCGATCACACTGGATGACTTCTTCTGGGCATTTGGAATTCTCAGATCAAGGGCTTTCTCTCGCCTTCGCAATGAAAATCTAGTGGTGATTCCGCTTGCAGACTTGGTAAGGTTCATTTCTTCTTCCTCTCTGTTTTGCGGCAGCTAAGGACTTCAACAATATTACTGGTAGAAAGAAAAGATAGAAACATGATGTTATGTTCCTAAGTGTTCCATGTTGAAAAGAAGAAGCGATGCTCATTTTTTTTAAAAAAAAAAAAAATTATTTCCAACTAACGCATCTGTTAGATACCTTTTCCGTCACTGTAAATATTTGGGGGGAATGACAATCTGGTCCCAGTTAAGAAAGACACTGACAATTTAGTTCCAGTCCCACGAATGTGATAAACTGACTTGGGTGGCCGGTGAAGGCGGTCCGGCAGCCAATGAAGGTGGCTAGTGACTAGGGAGGTGGAAGGAGGGAGCGAGGGGAGTTAATAAAGAGGAAGGGCTGTTTTGTTCTCATTATAATTGTGCAAATGATACCCAGGTCATGAAACCTCTATTAAATTATGGAACTAAATTGTGACTATAATGGGGAATGAACCGTCATTTCTCCTAAATATTTTCTCTTTTCCAGTCGGCGGATCTAGAAAAAGTTCTAAGAGATTTTTGTTTTTTGAAAGTGACTTGTTGGAAATCTCATAACTAATGTAATTATCTCTTCAACTATTGTAATAAGGAATTGAGTCTTACGTTGAAAGCATGAGATTCTATTACAAGGTTTATGTAAAAACTAGACATGACTTCTCGTGCTCTGAAGTGTGCCAGACTGATTGAAACTTGTAAACAGTGCGGCTTTTTACAAACTTCATACCGTATAAATGGATAGATTAGACTGTCCAAACTCATTAGTTTTTCAAATACAGCTATCCTCAAAGGTTCATATGACCTCGAGTTGATATCCTTTGTAGTTATTCTCTGTACTTTCTTCTACCAATGTGTTGCCTTGCATTGAAAAATTGGAGTTTTAAGAGTTCTATTTGTGGATCAGATAAACCATAGTGCCAGAGTAACAACAGAAGACCATGCTTATGAAATTAAAGGGGCAGCAGGTCTTTTCTCGTGGGATTACCTGTTTTCTCTAAGGAGCCCTCTTTCTGTCAAGGCTGGGGAGCAGGTGAGTTTATCCCTCCTCTTCTTTTCCTTTCCATTTTCCAATGCCATGCAATACCCAATATGTTTGAAGAACTGCTACAAAGTTTTGATACGAGGCCCCCACTATCCATTAGTGTACTGTACAGTTACACAAATTTGATCTCCAATTCAGATCTTGATATAGTGCATTTGAAGAGAAATTAAGATTGATGTGAATAAAAATACAGTTACCCAGTTACACTATTCTGCGTCACTTTCTCTCTCGATGTATATTAGTATGACTGTAGAAAATTCAGATTATTAGACATCTCATCCTGAAGATATTGCGTTCTTTATTCTTGGCCCTCATTATAATCATCAATTATGAAACGTAAAGCAGGGACTCGCTTATTTGTGTTATTGTTTCAATTTTCTACCACTTGTCAGATATTGTAACGACAGTGTGGACACGTTAAAACATGTATCCAATATATATACAGACAAATGAAATAAGAAATGCAAAATTTCGACAGAGCTGGGACAGGGCCAGGTCTATGATCCTTGAGGACAAGGATCTTATGTAAAGGTGAGTATTGTTATGTAGGGAATTGAAAGTTAATTAGGTGAATGGTAGAGAGAGCGTAGTTTGGGTATTTATAATAATATGTATAGGTAGGGTCTTGAAACATGTAATTGGTATCTAGTGAAATCAAATCTCAGCTTTCTTTGCTTTCTGTATTATATTCGTATTACTGTTGATCCGTTAAAAAAATGAAGATATTAAATAACATAAAATGAAATTAGAAGTCCTATGAAAATTCGTTTTGCATGATACAATCTGACATTTTTTATCCAGCATATTTTGCTATAAAGGTTACAGTGTATGAAATATAAAATTTCACGCGCACACATGTGCACACAAAATATTTTATAATTTTGAAAACTTGACCTGTATTTATTTGTTATTTTGGTCATGAAGTATGATCATGGACCGAAATGGGCATGGCGCTAAAGTATATTCTTTGCTCTGGGACCCATTTATATCCAGATCTATTTGCCAGTGAATTTTAAAAACCAGTGAACTCATTTCAGGATAGAACTCACCAATCTTTAGTCTACTCATATAAAACTAACAAAATAAGAATATCTACAGATTTCAAATAAAGTCTTCAAAAAACAAACTTTCCTGGACCCTCTGATCAGATTCAAATTGGTAAATCTCTGGGGATGGTGAACCGTCTTTTTGAAAAAAATAATTCATCCTCACTGATGGAGATTGTCCCAGGGTGTTGGTGATGGAAATTATAAAATTCCGCGTAACAATGTTTGGAATTTTTGCTGCAGATATATATTCAATATGATTTGAAGAAAAGCAATGCAGAGTTGGCTCTAGACTACGGCTTCATTGAACCAAATTCAAACAGGAATGCATTTACTCTGACGCTACAAATATCTGAATCAGATCCGTTTTTTGATGACAAACTAGACATTGCTGAGTCCAATGGTTTTGGTGAGACGGCATATTTTGACATCTTCTTTGACCAAACACTTCCACCAGGAGTGCTTCCATATCTGCGTCTGGTGGCACTTGGTGGCACCGATGCTTTCTTGTTGGAATCTATATTCAGAAACTCCGTTTGGGGTCATCTTCAGTTGCCTGTAAGCCGTGACAATGAGGAGCTAATATGTCGAGTTGTTCAAGATGCCTGCAAATCTGCCCTTGCTGGTTATCATACTACCATTGAAGAGGTATGTATGCGTGGCTTTGTATTTTGCTTGGTATCATTCTCACGTGAGGAGGCTCAGTATCGGTATATGGATATTGGTTTTTATAGGTAAATTTAAACGGAACTTAAGATTGCTGAACAAGAATTTCTGATCCCATGAAAGATTAGCGGCATTCAAAATACTATTACGCATAGATAACTATTTTATACCACATAAAAATTATGGAGATATCACCTTTTCTCTTTTTAAGAATAGCTCTCTTAGAAACGGGTTGTAATTTCCATTGCAATTTCAATTGTTAAAAAAAACATGGGAATAATAAATACCAAGGTATTTGATGCCATCCTTGTTGGTATACAATACCAATTTGTCAAAGTTATTAAAAAAAATGTAAAATAAGAGCTTGCCTAAGGGTTCATGATATATTAGATAATTATGGTATACTATCGTGTAGCAATGTGTAAAGCTAAAATCAACTGTGCAACATTTTGTTTACCGTTACTTTATAGTATCGTTTCAAAAACTATGACTTAGAAAATGGTGCATTAAAATGCCGAAATTTTGATAACAAAGTAGTAAAAACTTTGAGGATGATAAAATGCTGAAGAACTGATTGAACACAAACATGTCAATGGCAGGATGGGAAGTTAAAAGAAGAAAAGCCAGATTCAAGGCAGGCAATTGCAGTGGGAATAAGAGAAGGAGAAAAGAAGGTGCTGCAGCAGATTGAAGGGATCTTCAAGGAGAAAGAGTTAGAATTGGATCAGTTAGAATATTATCAAGAAAGGAGGCTCAAAGATCTTGGTCTTTGCGGAGAAACTGGTGAGATCCTTGGTGATCTCAGCAAGTTCATGTAAGATGGCAGAAAAAGCGCCTTAAACTTGCACTATCCAGAGGAAGAAGAGAAAACAGAACTTGGCAAAAGGGAATCTCTCTCAAAGATGAATCTGTGCCATTCACTCAATTAATTCATGAAAGAGGGTCAAAATCAAGTTTTTGACATTGCCTAATGCTTCACCAGAGAAACATGTGATGCAGAATTACAATTCCTTCTGTATTAATTGTGTAACAGTTCAACAGGTGTGGTAAGAATCAGAATGAACTTTTGGATGTTGATATGGTGCTGGTCTGGTGTTACCAGGATATCCATGACCATAATTCATGAACACATAACTGGAGAAGAAAAATAAATCAATAAATGGGAAGTGAAGCTGAAGACCTAAATCAATGTATGGGAGAAGTCGCAAGATTTTGGTCCGTCGAAAAGGATGCCCTATCAGTTTCCATGTCATAATTATGAAGTTTCCAAAGTTGAAATATGAGGATCTAATCTTGGAATGGAAGCATACAAGTATGAGAACGTGACCAGAAAATCAAATTTTAATTCCTTAGAGTAGAATCTGAAATAATTCGTCGATTTAGTCTCAATTTTTTTGCAAAGCATGCGTTGAAATCTGGATTTTTGAAAGGCCATGACGTTGACATATACTTACAAATGCTAGTTCTAATGTCTAGGCATTGTTCTTATGTAATAAAATACTCATTTATCAATACTAATCATTCCACTTAAAACAATATTTAGGCTTGAACATTAACAACCACTTAAAAATTTAAATAGAATTAAATAAAAATTAATAACCAGATTAGATAAAAAAAATTATTGGATCATTCTTCATCCCATTGATCAATGCACATATTTGTACCACACTGCAAGCATGACTTCGTTTTATAAACTAATTATGTCTTTACCCAAAAAAAAAAAGCATGAAGAGTATGACCCAAAAAAAAATCATCGTAGAAGAATTAAAAAAAAAAACAAGAAGATAATTGTGCCCAGAAGAAACGAAGACAAAATAATAGACGATGAAGTCTGACGGTTTTTTTTTTAATTAGGTTGGGAAGGGTATAGTCCCCCCCCCCCCAACTCTAATTTCTTTAAAAATCACTAATTTGTTCTCAGTTTTTTTTTTTTTTGGTATGTGGCCCAGAAACTAATAAATAAGTTAGAATGAGTGACAATCATTTGAATAATCAATCAGAGACTTTAACTCTTCTTCGCCTATAAAATAAATCTAGTGTGAAATGATTGTATTTTCTTCGTTGATCAAAAGAGAATACTCCAATTTCCTCATAAATATTTTAATAAAAATTGTTTTCATTGAAATGGTTGCCTTCAAAGTGAATTTGAAATGATAACATCCTGGTAAATTCTTTTCATCGTGTAGGGTTTTTCTGGTAGTATTTAGCTCAATAACAACCTAATCAATGCAATTAACAAATTAAAATGACTTCAGTCAGTTTCATAGTATGCCTCAAGATGGCTCCTCCCCACATTTTATTTTTCAAATCAACAGCAGTGCGAGAAAATTTGTTTTTTATTTTTTCTATTTCTTCCATTTCCTTCAAATTTCAAAATCTAAAATGCAAAATGACCACTTGACATTCTCTATTTCCCACCATTTGGATCCCTCATCTCTTTTACCATGCTCTTACCCTCTTTCATTTTGGCCCCATCTCATCTCTCTCAGCCTCCAAAGACAATTCATCAGTTTGTTTTTTTCTTTTTTTTCCTTTTTCTCTCCCTTCTTCATTGATTTCTTCTTCTTCATCTCTGATCTTCTGGGAATGGGATGCTAAGATTCACGGATCTTACTTCTTGGTAACTTGGCACTCAAGGACGCTTTTCTTCTCAAATTCCATGGAAAGCCTTCGGTGCCAAGCTTGGAAACACCCCTTCTCTTTTCAAGAGTTGTGTTGGTTGAATAAGGGATATTGGTGAAGGGAACAAAAGCAAAGGTGGCAATGACAACGACATGGAGACATTCTCTTCTATCTTTAGTGGGTGCTCTTGATTTTCAATATTTACTTGTTGTGATTGCTCAAAATTGTGAGGTTATCGCCTGCCATCAACCAAGATGATTTTATTATCTTCTTGTTGATTTTTTTTTTATTTTCATTTATTAATACTCCTTCGATCCTAAATGTAAGATATATTTCTTATATTTATTAATTTTTTCTGAATTATTTCTATTGACACTCTTTCGATTATAATCAAGTAAGAGAGATACGTATGATATTAAGAAAAAGATGATTGTAGTGTTTCAGGAAAAACATGTCATATTTCTTGTAATTAACTCACTTATTTCTTATAATTAACTAACTTATCCAACTTCTTTAATCTAGTCAAATTAGTTAAATAAGTCTTATATTAATGACCGGAGGAGTGGTATGTTTCATCTGATTTTGGTCATCATTTTTTTCTCTCTACTTACAGCACAGCTAATAATTATGAATGTTGAATCCGCATGTCAAATACCAAGTTTCTATGATTTTTGGAAGTGGGTTCTATTTAGTCATGATTCAAGCACCAGCTAATGGTCAAACCATTTTGGTTTCCTAAATGGCTGGGGGACTTGTAGATGAAGGATTTGGAGTTCCAATGTAGTGGCAGCAACCATAGTTACCACAACTGGTGCGGCTTCTCTTTATAATACCTCCGGTCCTAATTATAAAAGCTAGTTGACTAATTTGAGAAGATTAAATAAATAAGTTAAATTAGTTATTTGTAATAAATAAGTATTGTCTTTCCTAAAATATTCTCGCTAATTAGGTGTATTGGCTACAACTACCATTATGAGAAGGACTATCTTAGAAAAAAATGTACAAATATGAGAGATAAAGTGGATTGGAGTCTCATATTTAAGATCAAAATAAAAATTAAATGAGGTCTTATATTAAAAACCGGAGGTAGTACTATATATCAAATCAACAATTACAATAGGATGTAAGAGATTAAGAAGAAAGTATTAGTTATTCATCCACCATGGTGGCTTCAAGAAATATTTTATCATGGAGTATAGTGATGTAAATTGCTGAGTATTGTGTTAAATTGTTAATCATGTTTTTATCTCTTCAAGAAACTATTAGTAAAAGAAATATTATCATAAAACCCTCTAATTAACCATAAACATTTAATTATACATTTCATCATGATATTTCATGATTAATTATCTATATATCTAATAAATAAAAATCAAAGCTAAGCTGAACTATTTTGCTATTATATCAGCTCCTCACTCATTTTATTGTGCTATGAACAGTAAAGACTTATGAACAATGATGGCTCATGCATGTGGGTCTCTGCTTTTTTTTTTTTTTTTTTGCTTTTTTTTTGTGAGGCTATCTCATGGTAAGTGATTGAGTGTCTTTTTCTTTTTCTTCTTTTTTTTTTTTTTTTGCGTTAAGCACCTGGTATCTTGAACCAAGCCATCTTTTAAGTACAGCAAGTCAGACTAATTTAAATCGAGGCATAACAGGAGCCATTAAAGTTGGCATCCTTGGCCCCTAAGATGTTGCATTCCTATATCTCGAGACCTATGATTAAGTTAGAACAGTCCCAACTAACTGATCTAATTGTCGAGGTTGTGACTGAGTGTCTTTCAACTGGTAGCTGCGTTAGATTTAAATTTCAAATTTTAAAATCCCCTCCATGTTTTGTGGTCTCTCTCTTTCATTATTATGGAGTATGTATTTTCTTTTTTTTCTTTCAAATGCTTTCGTCCTTTCTCTTTCACTACTTCTATTTTTTGTTCCTTAGATCTATTTGACTTCATCTCTAGTGTAAATATCTACATCCTCCTTCCTTCCAGTTTAATCTCTGGTTCTCCAAACAAAGTTTTGTTCGTCTAGTTCTATGGCCTTCTTTTCGATGGATTTATTTGCGGCTCTGTATGGTGGCTCATCATCTTCCTTTTGACATCTTTTTGACTTTTATGATCCTCTTTGTATTCCTTCTTTTCTCATCCTTGTCCTATTTTTCCTATTTTATTTTTCATATGCTATGATCGTTGAGGCCATTATTGATTGTCTAAATGTTGCTTTATGAATATGAAAGATAGTTTAGTTCATTCGATATAGTGTTAATCCATTTTCGTTTATTGCTTTATATGATAAGTCAGTAGCACCAACTCATTATGATTGGTGGAATAAATATGGAGTATCGAATTCTCCATGCAAAACAAGTAAGCCATAACTCGTACTTTTTAAAAGCTCAATCATTTTGGTCCTTCGAGCTCCAATTCTTGCCAATTAATTAAGACAAGACTTATTTTATTTTATTTTTTGGCCTGAAGATAACACTTATTTTATTATATCCTACCATTTGCATGGAGATTAATACCAGTGACATAAGTAAGGCAAATATTTTGTTATTTGGTTCATGGAAGGGCGGAAAAAAAAAAAAAACAAAACAAAACAGATCCCATGCCAATGGTACTCACACAATGGTCAAATACAGGCCACTGGGTACTGTATAAGGCGTTTTAAAAACTATGCATGACACGCATGTTTTTGTATATATCAGATTAAGTAATTTTGACTATTTGTCTATTTTGATTTCTTTGCGGGTTAATACTAACTTTGGTTCTTTAAATTTATTTTTATTTTGGTTTTGATTTCTGAAGTTTTAAATAATATATTGTAACCCCTCAAGTTTCTTTTCATTCAAAACATTGGTTCCTATAATCTATTAAAAACTTCAACTATTTTGTCTGAACCAAAACCTATAATTTGAATTTTGATGGATTAAAATCAAAATAAGAACAAATTTAAAGGGATAAAAATTATATTAATATTTTTCATTCTAATTAAAAGGCATGATAGTAAAACCTCATACTCTTCATCTTTCTTAAATTTGTTTCTTCAAGTCTTGGCCTTAATGTTTTTTTTCCCCGTGATGATGGCGTAAAAATTATAGTAACGCAGTGGTCAAAATGGCATCAGAAGTGAAGTAGATCATATTTAAAGAATGTGGAAAACATACCCGTGGTGAAGGCATGTCCTGTGATATGTACTGTAGATTGATGTGACTTCACCTCCCATGTTTTGTAGTAGAATTGTTGGCTTATGAGGTATTTGGATGGAAACTAAACTATACTTTTAAAAGTACTTTTATAATATATAAAGTAAATATGCAGAAAAGTACTTTTGAAAAGCACTTTTATATAATCTCAAACACTCTCTTAGTCTATGGCTCTCTATGTACATTGATGAAATTTTTCTCATCAATTTTTACTTCTGCCATCTAACTTTAACTTCCATCAATGGTACAACTTATAAGTGATATTCTAAATTTGCCATGAGTAACTTCTTAAATTAATTTTTTAAACTTTTTTGTTTTAAATTTCATTTATTCAATTTAATAAATTACTATCAATATTATTTTATTCAATTTCATTTATGAATTTAATTGAATACAATTTAATCAATATTAATATAAAATATAAAAATTATACTAAACAGGGAGTTCCTCAAATTTTATTTGTTATTTTTTATGTTTAAATCTCAATCAAAGCTAAGACTCAAATATTTATTTCCTGAAAATAATTGATAGGATAGCAACAAATAAATATAATGTCCCTTAAATCAATGTGTGGTTTGAGTTGGCAAATAGTGTGGAGTTTGAGATTTGCAACAAAAGAAATAACAAAATAAAATGTAAATTAAGGAAAATTAGTAACACAAGTCTCTAATTTTAACTATGATATAAATCAAAAGCATATTTAAATGTACAATGATTTAAAAAGATATAAATTTTATCTCGCACACCCCACAAACACATATAATATTTACATTTATTAAGCGAATGATTTCACTTAAAATATATAACAAATATACAGTATAAAATTTTTATTCAATATTTTCTTCTGCCAGAAAATAAAGATCAAAATAATGATAAATAAAAATTAAATTACGACTGATCAAACCTCGTACCCCACATCTACTCACCTAGTCATTAGTATAGGAAATTTATATGTTTAACCGCATCTAGATTTTAAAAATATGATATAACCGCTCTCGATACACATGATTCTAACAACAACACTTGAGGCATTATTACATTCTAGACAGCAATATATCTGTCTCATCCGACACATTTAAGAAATACTAATACAGCTCAGCTCCGATGTTGTAAAAACTAGGCAAGAACTTCAGTAAGAAAGTTCGCACTTCCTTATCCAAGCCTTAACTTATGTGGCAATCTGACGACTATAAAAAATAAAAGTACCACTTGTAATTTCCAAGTGGGAAGGCAATATCTCTTACCCCTAGCTTTGATTGGTCTCATCAAGAACAGGAAAAGCTTGGCGCAGAATTTCAGCCGCAAGCTCAAGCTCTTGTTCTGTTATAATTAGTGGAGGAACAAGCCTGACAACATTTCCTTTTCCGGCTGTTAAAATTAGAAGACCAGAATCTCGGCATGCATCGACAAGAGGCGAGGTGGGAACATCTAAATCAATTCCTATAATTAAGCCAGCACCACGAATTTCTCTCACGTGCCGGTTTCCTCCCAACTTCTGTTTTAGAAGATCTTTGAAGAAGGAACCTTTCTTGGAGACTGAAGCCAGGAAATCAGGTTTTGATACTTTGTTCAATACAATAAGAGCAGCAGCACAGACAAGAGGACTTCCAGCAAAGGTGCTTCCATGGTCACCATATTTTATAGCAGAAGCAACCCTTTCAGTTACCAGCACTGCTCCAATAGGCAGACCGCCAGCAAGAGGCTTGGCAAGTGTCATCATATCTGGAAAGACACCATAAGCTTCATGGGCCCAAAGATACCCTGATCGGCCTAAGCCACATTGAACCTAGAAAATTGTACAAATATGCCTATTAGAAAAAATGGAATAACCAAACATATGATGGTACCATATAATTTCCTCAGGAAAAAAAATAAAATAAAATAAGATGATATATGTTGGGGGAGGGGGGGATTCAAGTGATTATGTCCTCAGAAGTGATATGACAGCAAAAATTGTAAATTATACTAAAATATCAGATGAATTTAGGAAAAGGCTGCTTTGTGACTCCACCTTACTTTGCATAAGCATACTGAAGCTCCCCAAAATTAGCTAAGAAGAACTGCATTTAATTACTTCTATGCAAGAAGACTACATACCTCATCAAACACAAGAAGAGCCCCAGTCTCATCACATACATTTCGCAGAGACTCCAGAAATTCTTTTGTGGCACTGTATATTCCCCCTTCTCCTTGGATAGGTTCCACAAACACTCCAGCAATCTTACCCTGGCGAATTAAGTCTATTGCTGCCTGCGTATTTCCATACTCTAGAAATGTCACTCCAGGCATAACAGGTTCAAATGGTGCTCTGTAATTCTCTTTGCTTGTCAAAGCAAGTGAACCCAAGGTTCTTCCATGAAAGCAATTGCTAAAAGCTATAAACTCTGTGGCTGGCTCTTTTCCATCAGCACATGTATGTCTTTGATATTTCCTAGCAAATTTAATTGCCGCTTCATTTGCTTCAGTTCCAGAATTGGCAAAGAATACACGGTCAGCAAAAGAATGAGCTACTAGAATCTTTGCAAGTTCTACCTGCGCCAAAGCCAAATTAATTATGAAATTTATAAGCGGTTCAAAACATTGATGTGACAACATAAAACACAAGACATGAACTCAACTAAACTAGAGTTACAAGTTAATAAACGAAGTAACAAAAATAAATCTCAAACCCTGAACAAGGACACAGCTATGATATTAATGGAGGGACAAGTAGGATTATAAACAGACTGTTTTACCCCTTCTAGACAGACTGTAATATTTTTTATATGTTGCTTTATTTGGTTTACTATTTTATATCTATAATTCAAAGAGAACTTTGTCATACAGAAATACAGGATTATTACGTAAACATTGCACACACTTCTAAGTTAACCAATACTTTTGAGTACCGAATTTCAGACCACTCACAAATGAAACATTAGTACACTGAATTGCACTCCTCAGAAATTTAGAATTTTCTTGCCATTCACAGTCCTTACCTTTTGATGCCATTGCAAAGTTTAAAGCTGTATGATTTTTTATCAACTAGAGTGGGTCCAGTGCATTTCCACAGAGTCTAAGATGCACCACACTGTTCACGGTTTGTGAATAGAATTTCCTAAAAGTTCTATGTATATAACACTGATAATGATTTCTTCTATCTGGCTTAACCTTTGTCATTGTGAGTAAAGTGAAGCACTTCCAGAATCTCTATACAAACCTAAGCAACAATTTACACACCGTATACTCAACAGCGGGCAATAAATGATATTAACACTTTTGACACCTCCACAGCTCAAACCCTGACCTAAAGATAATCTCTAACCCTAAAAACCCTGCTAAATTAATGAAAATCAATACAAGGAGGAAGCATTCAACTTTGAAAAGGTTTATGATAAAAAATAACAAGTAGCAGTATTATTTCCTGGTTTACATTTTTCTAAGATCATATCTCAATGTTGACAACTTAAGAAATTATTAGCAGTTAATGTTATTTCCATGCTTTCTCAGAAGCTGAAGACAGTTTGTTTCAAATACAAGCAAATGAATCATGGCATGCCCATACCTGTGGGACTGAATAGTACAGATTGCTGACATGAGTGAGTGTTCTGGCTTGCTCAACTAGAGCCTCAAACCAGTCTTCATCCCCATGCCCTAGTGCATTAACCGCAATCCCAGAACTCAAATCTAAATATTCTTTGCCTTCAACATCATACAACTTACACCCTTTACCACTTTCAAGCACAACTGGAGCTCTTGCATACGTTCCAACCAAAAACTTCCCTTCTGACTCAATCACCTCCTTAGTCTTTCCCAATGATATCTTCCCAGCATTATTTGGTGCCTCAACATCCACATTTAGACAAGCAGTCACAACCCTCTGACAACTAATTTGAGTAGATTTTTTTTCTCTGGTTGACATGCTTTGTCTATCCACGTTGGAAAACCTCCGAACAATGCATGACAATTGAGAAGCTGAATCATTAAGACCAATGTTAACAGCACTCATTGTGTTAGGCAGCGGTTGCGGCTCTTGACCTTTTCACCCTTTCTCTTTGCTACAAAGAACGTCAAACTGACAATCAGCTTACCATAACTGTTTTAGAGAATCAAAATGTCAAGCCAATTTTTTTTTTTGTTCAACTATATTTGTTCAAAGGAAAAAAAACATAAAAAGAACTAGGACTACTTTTAGTTTAGAAGAGGCCAAAACATGGCTGCATTAAAGTCAGAAGCAAAATGGGCCACATAAAATGGAATCCATTGAATGGCAATTGTTATAGAATATAGTGTGAAAAAAGGGAATGCTTACAATGACACTCAGATGAATGATAAATTTTTTCATATTAAGTAGACCCAAATACACAAAAATTACACATAATTTCTGGGCCATAGCATGCTATTTCAAAACCTATCTTATATTCCCCTATCATGACCAACTTGAATAGAAGGCACAATCATCACGAGCAATCATCTGATCATCTGAACTGGAATATATATATAAATATGAAGAAGTTAGTGGAGGGTAACGAGAGAAAATGGACATTTTCAATTACATTTTAGGGTTTACAAAATCAAATCAGCTGTGAATCAGGATGTATCTCCATGCCTTCGAACAAAAGCAGCACTTCAATTAAAATGAACTAGCTCATACTGACCATTGAAAGAACGAATCAAAAATAAAAGAAGGGTTCTTACTTGCCTAATCACGCAACCCCAGAGTCTCTCCCAAGCAACGATGTGTCGAAGTATAGGATGACCAAAAAAAAAAAATCGTCTTCTTCCGCTTGGTAAGGATCAAAATCAAAGAGGAAGAGAAGCTAACTAAATGTGAAGTCCTTCTCCTTCTTGATTAGAGTGTTTTTTCCAAATTGGCTTGGCAATCAAGATTTGATTTATGAAAGAATCACTATGGCACTATACGAGTCAGAGGCGATGGCCTCAACTCTTGTTCGGGTGGCTAGCTACTATCTGAATATGATGAGGCTTTCCAGGTTAATTTTTTTGTGTCTGCTTAATGTTAATTGATGTTATGAATAGATATAAGAAAAAATCCAAATAAATGTTTGTCCTTTGATTTAAAAAAAGAGAAGCGATAGTTTGAAAGAATCAAAATCTTTGGATTTGTTATAACTTCTAATTGCCTGTTATCATTTCCAATTGGACGATCCATTAATCCAATTGACGGAAAATTATAAATAGATCCAATATTTTTATTTTTATTGGAGATTCAGAATAGATGGACTCTCTATAGGCCCTATTTTACTGACATGATTTATCACCACTTTAGCAACACAATCGGTTACTTGGGAATCCCAGTTATTCCATTTCTTGATAGCATCAATTAGTATTAAGTAGACACAAAATATTTAGCCTAGAAAGCCTCGTCATATTCAGATAGCAAGTAGCCACCCCAGCAAAAGTTGAGGTCACCACCTTTGACTTATATGGCCCAATAATGATTCTTTCATAAATCAAATCATGATTGTCAAGCCAATTTGAACAAACACTCTAATTGTAGCACAGAGCAGAAGAAGAAGGACTTCACATTCAGTCAGCTTCTCTTCCTCTCTGATTTTGATCCTTACCAAGCAGAAGAATTTTTTTCCCCATCCTGTACTTCGACACATTGCTCGGGAGAGACTCTGCAGTTGTGTGATTAGGCACATAAGAACCTTTCTTTCGTTTTTGATTCATTCTTTCAGTGGTCAGTACATGCTAGTTCATTTTAATTGAAGTGCTACTTTTGTTTGAATGCATGGAGATACATCCTCATTCGTAGCTGATTTGATTTTGTAAGCCCTAAAATGTAATAAAAAATGTCAATTTTCTCTCGTTACCCTCCACTAAAATTCTTCATTTATATATACATTCGAGTTCAGATGATTAGATGATTGCTCGCGATGATCCTTCCGTTCAAATTGGCATTAGTTGGCCATGATAAGGGTATATAAGATAGGTTTCAAAATAGCATGTTATAGTCCAGAAATTATGTGTAATTTTCATGTATTTTGGTCTACTTAATATGAAAAAATTTATCATGCATCTGAGTGTCATTGTAAGCATTCCTGTTTTTCACACTATATTCTATAACAATCGCCATTTAATGGATTCCATTTGTTGATGTGTTTCCCTAACCACTTCATATTCATAATAGGAATATGCCAAATCATGCACAATGCTAGCGATAGCAAGCAATTCCCAAAATTTGTTATTATCAAGATGTCTAGCTCTCATTTTCCTAGCTTAGTCTATCATACTACCAATGTCATGGTATTTAGGGACTAAATGACATGACTTTACATGACGCCAAAGGGTAGAAGTGCCACAACTCTTACCCCCACAGCAAAAGGCTTTACACACCCATTACATGTAGCCTTTTCTTGCCCATTTACTTTGCTAATTTTAGTAAAATACTTCCACACTTCATATGTGCATGTTTTTTAGCTTTCTTTCCACCATTGTCATGCACATGCACAGAAGAGTCAGGTTCAGACTTTTTTTCTCCATCAACAACATTGGTTTGAGTTTGAGACTCATTAAGAACATTCTTAGCACCGTCATCAGGCACAGGCATACTAGGACTAGCAGAAGACATCCTATATAAAACCAATACAACCACCAGCAGCACACAAAAATACCCAAATCAATACAACATTCACTCATTCAATGTATTCCATATTTCACATTTCACAAAAATGAGTAATATATTAATTTAACAAAAATCCAGAGCGAACAGTGAAGAGACAATCAGAACAATATTCAGATTCAGACTCCAGTGACCAGTCGACCAGTCCAGAGGGAGACGACGACAAAGAGGGAACTAGGAACGAGGAAGAGACGAAGTGTACCTGAGATTGAGACTTGAGAGCGAAAAGACGGGGTGTCGAGCGTCGACACAGCCTTCAGGTCCTGGGTTGCGACACACCCCTCAGGTCCCGTGGTGCGACTCGCGACTTGCCGGCGTTCAGGTCGACGAGAGGAGGTAGGTAGGGGCGAGGCGGCGACGCCGATGACGATGAGACGATAAGCTCTGGACGGCTGGAGCCTGGACCTCTGGACTCCGGCTGTGAAAGATGAAATCGAAGGGTTAGTATTCAGGGCGCGTTTGGTTTGCCAAGAGTGCCTCTTATAATCATTTTCACACAAATCCAGATAAAATTTTTCCCGTTATAAAATTACTTTTGTTTTCACCCAAACAGTTATAAATGCAGGCAGCAAAGTGAAGGTCCCGTATTGCAGCGTGAAATGGGAGGAGGAAGATAGTGCACTTTGAACATGGAAGGAAAGAAAAAAAAATTCAAACAAAAATAAATAAATAAAACGGTTTCAAATTAGTCCATCATGGGTTCAGTTTTGATAGTTATAGGTTTAAAAGATTTGTTTTAACATGGTTTCAATTTTTATCAATCCGTTCAACTATTTCTTAGCATGCTGATTTCACAAACTCACCCCATATTACGGGTTTTATCTTAAACTTCGTAAAATTGTTTTTAGATATGGGTTTGGATAAGTGTTTTGAGGCAAAAATGTGACTTGAAACACATGAAAAATTACTTTTTGAATGACAAGCTGCTTTTTATTCTCTGAGTTAAGAGGTGTTTGGATAACTAAGACAGTGTTTTTAGATAGTACTTTTTTACAAATCGAGGTAAAGTCTTTCACATATTTACTTTGTATGTCATAAAATCACTTTTAAAACTATAGTTTGATACTCATCCAAACATTTTTTTTTAGTAGTAAAGTAACTTTTGTCTCCAAAACTAAAGCTTTTTTAAAAAAAAAAAAAATTTGATGCTTGTTGTTGTGGTGGCAATTTCATTCTTTCTCTACTCTTTACTTCCCATAGTTTATCAGTCACTTGATGTTAGAAAGACTACTTTACTGAATATCATATGACTAAAAATTAAAGTAGAATAACTTTTTAATAAGTTTTTATTTTTTTTTAATTTTCAATATTATTTTATACATTATATACTTACATATATTTGTATTTTTCTTCATAATATGTTTTTATGCTATTTTATAAATTTTATATTTGCATGTAATTATATTTTATTTATTAAATATATTTTTTTAGTTTTTATAACTTTTCGATAATACATTAATTCTTTTTTATTTTTAGAATACCCATATCATTTTTAGTTATTTTATATTTAAACTGATTTTTCTATTAACAATCTAAACCAGCTTCAACTTGTCAAAGTGATTTTTTATAAAAGTCAATTCAAATATAAATCACATTATATTAACTGATTTTTACAGCTTACATTTGCAAAAGTTATGTGAAATAAAGTTTATTTTTATCACTGCTAATCTAAACATACCCGAAAAAGCTAATTCAAATACCCTCTTTTAGAAACTATTAATAAAAGAATTTTTTTGTACTCCAGTTACAAAATTCTCTAATTAACCATAAACATTTAGTTAAAAATTTCAAAATGAGTTTTCATAATTAATTATTATTAGTAACAAATAAAATATTGAAACTTAGATAATAAATTATTAAGTAAATTTTGAATAATTGTGTAAAAAAATTTGGAATAAATTTAAACAACTTATTTTCAAATATATTTCTTCATTAATATTCCTAATTATTTATGAAATTTTTCTCATCAATTTGTACTTTTGCCATCTAACTTTAGAACTCATCTTACAAATACATGGCTATTTTGCTTTGCAATTTAATTGAAGCACTATGAAAAATAATATTTTGTAGCAGTTTTTTTTTTTTCATGTTTGTAGCAATTTATTTGTAGCGATTTATAGAATCGCTATTAAAATGGGTGTGGCAAAGTACTTTGTAGTGATTATTTAAAACTATTACAAATGTGGTCAAAACCAAAAACTGCTACAAACCATGCCAGAACTAGAACTGCTACAAGTGTGTTAGAGGCATTGATCGGATTTAAAAATTATATTAAAAAAAAGATTGTTGTCTAGGGATTTATATTGATTTCGTTACAACTATCTTATTATCTACTTAATGTCCTTCAATTATCTTCTTTATCCTATAAGGCAATGGAAGACACTTTCTTGCCCCTACCATGCCTTTGTGTTGGTTACTTCTGATTGTAATATCAGAATCTTCTTAAGAAAATGTTTGATTATTATCTTGTAACTAAAAATTAAAAGCATGTTGTAGCAAAATACTTTGCTAGATTAGATCTTTCAATTTATAAGCGGTGTTGTCGTTGCCCCTTGTCCTCTGTTGTCTGTTTATCTAATATTTCAACTGCTATACAGCTTCACATATAATCCCCCCTTTCTTAGCTTTAAAAGACTTCCTAATAAAAAATAGGAAAATTTTCGATTAAGGACCACAGATGGGAATTAATTTCAAAGAGCCCCCAAAAAATCTGAAATTTCAGTTCAGGATTCTGAAATTTCACTAAAGGACTCAGGGGGCAAACTGAAATTAATTCCTCAACCCAATTTACTCAAATACCCTTCGAAATTTGCTAAGCTAAAAGGGCAGAAGAAAGAGGGAAAAGGGGGAAGTTGGCGCCAGTTGTTCCTATACCCATACAGTGATGAAGGGAGCTAATCAATGAGAATGAGCTGAGAAAATGCAGTGGGTGATGATCAGTCTGAAGGTGCATCTATTGGCGGTTTGTGGAAACTCATCATCAGTGTTGGTGGTAGTGAGAGAAACCGAATCCCCTGCTTATGGTGTGGTGTCGTGATCATCTCTGATGCTTGGTGTGTGAGGTAAATTTTTTTTTCCAAATATTCGTTTTTTGAGCTGACTTGTTGAGCACAGTTGGGTTGTGGTGCCTGAATAATAGAGAAATGAGTGTTTAAATGCATGGGTAAGTAGGTACTGAGGGGGGGAAATGAAGGGAATTGAAAGACGCGCAACGAAAAATAAATTTAAGAATTTCAATCCCTTGCCCGGATCTACCGATCGTGTTTAAGTCAAGTAGTAAGAAGCATTACCTTCGGCGTTCGATTTCTTGGTGGCTCGGTGATTGTTAAATTGCAAATTTGTATTGTTAACATATACTGTCTATTACTGTTTACAGGTGACTGAAATTGAAAGCTGAAGGATGTGTAGGAATGGATTATAAATAGCTGCTAATGGGGGAAAACAATTGTTTTGCTTCTTCCATACAGGAGGGGAATTTGTGAACACCCCAGATGGAAAATTGATATATGAAGGGGGTATTGTAAGTGGAAGATTGCTCACAGAAGGGATGATATACGAAGAACTACAAAGAATGGCAGCAGATAATGTTTGGCCTGGGAGGGGTCAATATAAAATGAAGTACACAGTTAGATTTGACACAGGAACATTCTTGGAACTAGTTGATGATATTGGAGTTGCCCAATTAATTGAGTACAATGATAACAGTGGGCATGTTTATATATCCAACAATGAAAAAGAGTTGAGACAAGCCTCACAGTTAGAGAGTGCACAAGAGTAAGTTGTTTTTAATTGGAATTATTAAGATTTTGGTATAATTTTAAAGAATTGAATTGCAAAACTCACGTGTTGTATTTATATATGCAGAATAGATGATTTGGTTGGGCCTTCATTTGTAAGGTCAGTATCTCCACGTGTATTCGATCAAGACATGGGTAACCTATTAAGTTTAGCCTAGCACACAAGTTTAGATACCTATTTGTGAAGAATGATAAGCATAAAATTATTGTCAAGTGCTGTGTGGATGGTTGTCGATGGCAAGTTTCAGCATATAGTGTAGATAAGAAGCATGAATTCCTAGTTGTAAGAAGATTTGATGATGAACACTTGCACTATGCGCAAGTGCAGACTTATTTTAGGGGTGATTGTAGATGAGTTAAGTTCCAGCATAGACGAATGTCCCAATAAATTAGACAGGATCTAGAGAGAGAATATAGGTTGAGTCTCAACTACCAACAAGCATATAGGGCAAAAGAGAAAGCAGTGGCCTAAATTCTCTAGAGGATTCTTATATATTAATCACTTGGATATGTGAAAGGCTAAAACAAACTGATCTAGAGACTATAGCAAAGTGGGTTGCATCATCAGATAATAGATTTCAAGCTGTATTTATTACATATGGCTGTTGTATAGAAGGGTTTTTAGAAGGTGGTAGACTCATACTATATGTGGATGGATGCCACTTGAGTGGTTCGTACAAAGGGGCTTTGTTGGGAGCACAAGCCTATGATACAGGCAATGAGTTATTTCTGCTTGCATATGCAATTGTGAGGGGTGAGACTTTCAAGAAGTGGGCATGGTTCTTGGGTAACATAAAGGATATTACTCGATCATTGCAATTAGTAATAGTTTCGGATAGGCACAACTCAATCAAAAATGTAGTGCAAGCTGTGTTTAGAGGAGATCGGCATGCTTTTTGTTATCATCATTTGAAAGAGAATTATAGTGCCGAGTTCTTAAAAATAACAAGGGGAAAGAGGAAGACCAATAGACAAACAAAGGAAGTTGCTCTGAAATTACTTGATTCAATTGCATATGCAAGACTGGATAGGAACTTTGATCGTAGTATAAAGAAGCTAATGAGATTTTATCCAGAATTGGTAGAATGGCTGCAAAGGAATAGAGACATTGAGCATTGGGTACAAAGCAAATTTTCTTACAAGAGGTGGGATAATATCACGACAAACCTAGCTGAATCCTTCAATGCCTAGATTGTTCATGAGAGAAAGCACAACATTATTGTCTTGATATGAGCATAGGGAAAAATTAGCAAATAGGATGTATCATAGCAAACTGGCTATGAGCAATTGGACCAATGGTGTAGAACCAAATATAGAGAAAAAATTGATGGATCATGTGGCTAGATCCAAAAAAATGGATGTACAAGATTATGGAATGAACACATTTAGGGTGAGATGGGGAAACATAGATGTGCGGGTAAATCTGATATTACGTGAATGCACTTGCAAAGGTTGGCAGATGTCAGGATTGCCATGCCCACATGCATGTGCCGCAATCAAGAAAGTATATGGTAATTTATATGCATATGTGGATGATTGTTTTTTACTCCCAGCTCAAGAAAAAATTTATCATAGACTTGTGATCCCAGTTGAGACACATGACAT